CCATGGGTTCTGCCAGTCTTTGAAAGACTTCAGATGTTTACAGTCACTTACTATGGCAATATATTTCTGCAGCTCAGCTAGCAGAGTGTAGTGAGAACTATCTGATTGCTGCTTGTGATTGCTGCTCTCCAGGACCTGGCTGTGCCTACACCTGTGTGAACTGACTTAACCTTGTCCTGACTTGTCATACCTTGTTTTACCCCAACCTGTTTGACTTGACTTGATTTACTTCAACCTGTATCGACATAGTTCAGCTTGCCTCTTTACTTGCATGCTCTAAGTTCTGTAAAACAAGATTGTTAGCACTTTTTAGTACCAGTGGTAGCTTAGATGCACTTTTTAATCTAACTTAATCTGCAAATTCTTTATGCTACATCTTAGTATTACTGTGCCCCACTAACTTCACAACAAGTAATACAAATTCTTTGATTAATAAGCTTTTTTAAGGGGAGTTTCTTACCTCATCTGTTCTATAGTCTATTGTCACATTATGGAAAACATTTGAAATATATCTTCTTTCCTATGGCTGTATGCAGTTTATTTGCTTCACGAAAAAATAAAGTACTCAAGTGTTTAAAAGACAAAATTAATCTAGAAAAGAATAAGATACTTTATTGACCTTATGGACTAGTGCTACATGGCCCTGCTGTACTGTTAGGTTTATAATACTAAACTGTTTTTGTAGATTGTATTGTAGAATAATCAGGAAAGGAGGGATCTTTTTTTTTTTTTTTGGTGCTTCTATGTTTGCCAAAATACTTAGCTGACAATATGTGGCATTGGCAAAGGGCATGTTTTCCCATTTGGATCTGATAAAGGCCAGATAACTTTACAGTCTGAAAAACAGCTTAGTGTTTCCAAAAAAAATTCTTCCTTCTTTTGGATATTTTATTTTCAAAATAAATTAACGGGAATGTACCAGTATAATCTTTCTTTGCCTGAGTTCTGTTAGTTGCTTCTAATGATTTATGCTTTTATGCTTTTCATAGAATCATAGAATTGGAAGGTGCCAGAATGCCATCAGTTCCAACCCCCTCTCAGTGCAGCACACCAAATTAAACCAGCCCTCTCAGATGGCTGTTGAACTGCATCTTGAATGGCTCAAGTGTGGGAGAGCCTGCAACCTTTCTTGGTAATTGGTTCCGTTGTTGTACTGCTCTAACAGGACATTTTTCTTGATATCTAGTCAGAATTTGGCTTCTTGTAATTTGAACTCATTGTTCCATATCCAGTATTCTGGGATGATTGAGAGGAGATCCTGTCCTCCTCCTTTGTGATAGCCTTTCAAGTACTTTGTAGAGTGTTGTTATATCTCTTCTCAGTCTTCTCTTCTTGAGGCTAAACTTGCCCAGTTCTTTCAATCTCTCCTTATAGGGTTTTGTTTCCAGTCTCTGGATCATCCTTGTTGCCCATCTCTGAATGCTTTCTAGCTTGTCCGCATCTTTCTTAAACTGTGGTGTCCAGAATTGGACACAGTACTCCAGATAAGGCCTAACCAGTAAGGGGGAACTAATACTTCAAGTGATTTGTAAATGATACTCCTATTAATGCAGCCTAAAATAGCATTTGCCTTTTTGCAGCCATAACCCATTGTTGACTCATATTCAGCTTGTGATCTACAATAATTCCAAGATCCTTTTCACTTACTGTATTGTTGAGCCAAGTATTCCCCACCTTGTAACGTTGCCTTTGGTTTCTTTTTCAAGGTGCTGAACTTGGCCATTGTCCCTATTGAATTTCATTCTTTTCTTTTCAGTCCAGTATGCAAACCTATTGAGATCACCCTGTATCTTCTTTCTGTCTTCCAGGGTATTAGCTATCCCACCCAGTTTTGTATCATTTGCTGCAAATGTGATACTTTTTCCCTGTGCTTCCAGATCTAAATCATTAATAAAAATGACTGACCCCTGTGGTACACCACTTGTGTACCTCTCCCATGTTTGAGAAGGTGCCATTGATGAGAACACGTTGAGTCTGATTTTGTAGCCAACTGTGGATCCACCTGATAGTTATTCCATCTAGCTCTCTCTTAGTTTGCTAACCAGGATATCACTGGGCCTTTTGTCAAAAGCTTTGCTAAAATCTAAAGAGATTATGGCCACAACATTTCCACAGTTCATTAGGGAAGTTATGCAATAAAAAATGAAATTAGATTAGTCTGGCAGGATTTGTTCTTGAGAAATCTGTGTTGGTTTCTACTAATCATTGTTTTCAAGGTGTTTTTAGAGTGACTGCTTGATAATCTGCTCCAGAATTTTCCCAGAGATTGACATTAAATTGACTAGTCTGTAGTTCCCAGGTGGTTCTTCTTTTCTTTTCTTGAAGATAGAGCCAGTATTAGCCCTTCGCCAGTCATCTAGCATTTCCCCTGTCCTCCATGATTTCTCAGAGATAATAGATATTGGTTCTGAGAGTTCTTCTGTCAGCTCCTTTATGACTTTAGGAAGAAGTTCATCAGGCCCTGGAGATTTGAACGCATTCATTCCAATCAGATGATCTTTGACAATTTACCTAACAATCTTGAGCTGCCATCTTGATCATTTGGCTTGTACTACTGCTTTATCAGGAAGGTCATAGATCTTCTTTTGGGAGAAGACTGAGGCAAAGTAGGAATTTAACACTTATGCCTTTTCTTTGTTATCTGTTATCATTTGCCACCCACTTTGAGCAGTTAATTCTCCCATTTCTTTCCTGTCTTTTACTTTGAACATATCTGAGGAAGGCTTTTTTTGGGGGGTGGGGGTTTAGCACCCCTCACTAACCTCAGTTCTGGCTTTAGCTTCCTGATGCCATTCCTGCAATTCCATGCTAAGCTGCCTATATTCTTCCTTTGTAGCCTGGCCTGTGTTCCACTTCCTATTCATGTTCCTTTTTGGGGGGTTTTTGGATCATCTCTAAACTGTGTGTGAAGCCACATAAGCTTCTTCTGTTGTCTTTTATCACTTGTTGGAATTGTTTGTAAATGTGCCTTTAGTATTTCCTTTGTATAAAATTCCTACCCATCTTGGACTCCTTTTCTCATTACAGTCACTTGCCATGGGACTTTACTAAAAATGGCTTTCTTGAAATTGAGGGTACATGTTTGGCTACATTTGGCTTTTACTTTCTTTAGAATCAAGAATTTAAGTATGGCATGGTCACTTTTGCCCAGAGTTCCTATAGTTGCCAGTTTTTCTACTGTGTTCCCTGTTGGTTTGTATCAAGTCAAGTTCCTGCTGTTTCTTCCTCCATTTTCTGTTGGAGGAAGTTCTCAGCAACACATATTAGGAATCTCTTGGAGGGTGGTGTTTAGCAGAATGTGTCTCCCAACAAGATATTGAGGAAATTGAAGTCACCCATAATGACAACATTGTGCCTCCTTGAAACACTAGCAATTTGCTTTTCAAAAGTTTCATCCTCGTCTTCTCCTTGACTGGGTGGTTGGTAATAAACTCTAACCACTGGGTTCCTTTTGTTCCTTACTGTATTTACATTAATCCAGATGATCTTGATGGGGCTACTGAGCTCATCCTCCTGTATTTCTGTGCAGAGATATGTATCTTTAATGCATTGTATGACTCTGCCTCCCTTTCTGTTTCATATTTTCTTATTCTGTTCAGTTGTTGAATTCCAATCATGGCAGTCATTCCACCAAGTTTCAGTTAATACCCTTCTAGTTGTATTCATTCACTTGTAGATTTTAAGTTCATGCTGTTTGTCTACCATACTCTGGGCATTAGTATATAAACATTGAAGACAATGTGCTAGCTTTCTTTCTACATTTTTGGGAAGACTATTATTGGACACTGTTGGAACTGCTCTTACTGTGGTGGTGCATAAGCCTTTTTCTGTAGTTACTCCCAGGTGCACTTCTCTTTCCCCTGTAGGATTCAGTTCAAGGACATCTTGATAAGCTGCGGCCAAACAAATTCTTTCCAGTTCTTGTAAGCTGCAACCTATTCTTTGCCTGCAGTCCATATTCCAGGAAGTGTCGCCCATTGTCCCAGAATGCAAATCTCCTAACTAACACTCTCCTCTTGTTCTTGCAAGCCTTGATATCGTTACTACTACTTGGTTGGCCATAGCAGGCTGCCCCCCAGTGTCATCCTCAAGTAAATGAAACCATTTGGGGAGTTCCACTACTTCCACTGGTGCAGAGTGTCTTCTAGATCTAGTTCTTCATCTGTCACCATTTTCAGGGAGTTTCTTCCTCATTTTTCCTTCTGTCTGGATCAGGGGTCCTCAAACTTTTTCACCAGGGGGCCAGTTAAAAGGTGCCAGTGTTGGGCACGGGCTGGAAAGATGGTGCCAGCAGTGTGCACGGGTCGGCGAGTGGGCAGGGGCGGCGCATGCAGGTGCATGTGCTGAGGCGGGGGCGGGGTGCGAGGGGAGGCGAGGCAAGGTGTGGGCGTGTGCAGCGAGGCAAAGCAAGGCTCAGGCGCGTGCGGCAAGGCGAGGCAGGGGTGGGCACGTGCCGTAAGGCAGGCGCACGAGGCAGTGGCTTGCTCGCTTGGAGCAAGCAAACCGCTGCCTCCCCATGGGCAAGGTGGGCGGTGGTGTGTGTGGGTATGGCAGGTCCAAATTGGCATGACGGGCCGGATAAATGGGCATGGCGGGCTGGATCTGGCCCCTGGGCCGTAGTTTGAGGATTCATGCTTTGAATTCTGTTCTTCTGACTCAACTTGCTGTTGCAGTTCTACCTTCTATACTACCCATAGCTGTAGCAGAGCCTTGCCACAGTTATCAACGTGCTGGTAACCTGGATTACTGTAATGCACTCTTTGTGGGGCTGCCTTTGAAGATGGTCTGGACATGCCAGCTAATTCAAAACAGAGCAGCACAACTGTTAACTAGGACCAGTCCTAGACAGCACATCTTGCAGGTCCTCCACCAGCTACACTGGCTGCCTGTTGTTGCCAGGACCTAATTCAGAGTGCTCACATTAACATATAAAGTCCTAAAAGGCTTGGGGCTGGAATAGCTGAAAGAATGCCTGTCTCTGTACATGCCTACCAGACCACTAAGATCTTCAATGGAGTCCCTTCTCCTTGAAAAACCCTCTAGTGGAAAAAGGGAGGATATATTGAGGAGAAGGACCTTTTCTTTATTGTCTTTCACTTGTGGAATAGTCTTCCTAAGAAGGTGTGCTTGGCACCCTTGCTACTTAGCTTCTACCACCAGGTTAAGACGTTTCTATTTAACACCTGGTTTTGTTTGTTTGTTTGTTTATAAAATTTGTATACTGCCTATTACTTGCGTCTCTGAATGGCTTACAACATAAATCAGAATAAAATAGATAAATTGACTATTCTACGCTGGCCGCAATTAATAAAATACAATAAAATCCAATTTACATTAAAACATATTAAAATATTGATTAAATAAAAAGGTCTTGACCTGGTGCTGAAAAACATACAGTGACGGCACCAGTCGGACCTCTCTGGGGAGCACATTCCATAGTCGGGGCACCACTGCAGAAAAGCCCCCCCCCCCCCCCCTGCAGAAAACCCCGGTCTTTCACAGAGGGTTCCTGGAGGAGGGCTTCGGTTGCCGATCTTGGGGCGGGAGGGCAAATGGGGAAAAAGGCATTCCTTTAGGTATCCTGGTCCCAAGCCGTTTAGGGCTTTATAGGTAATAACCCGCACCTTGAATTGAGCCTGGACTTCGATGGGAAGCCAGTGGGGCTGATAGAGGACTAGGGTTATATGATAATAACGCCCAGTCCCCGACAGCATCCTGGCAGCTCTATTTTGTACCATCTGAAGTATCCGAACTGTCTTCAAGGGCAGCCCCACGTAAAATGCATTACAGAAATCCAACCGGGAAGGAACCAGTGCGTGTGTTACTGTTGCTAGGCAATCTGCCTCCAGGTAGGGACGCAGCTGATAGATTAGCCGAAGCTGAAGGAAAGTGCTCCTCGCCACCTCCGTCATTTGGGCTTCCAAGGACAGCTTCGGGTCGAGGAGCACTCCCAAGCTGCGGACCCTGTCCTTTAGAGGGAGTGCAACCCCGTCCAGGGCAGGGCCCAGTCCACCTAACCAGGAACTCGAATCACCCACCAACAGAACCTGGTTTTAAATATGTTTTGATTTTATTATCATTATGTTAGTGCTGCTTGCTCTGTATATTATGTTCTCCTGTCTTGCATATTATAATAATTGGATTTCTTGTTGTATATTAGTAGATTTTCTAGTTTTATTCCATTTTATGGATTTATGCTGATTGTTTTTAGCTTCATTGTGAGTCAGTCAGAGCCCTCAGGCCAGTGATGGTGAAGCTTATAGGGACCGAGTGCCCAAACTGCAACCCAAAACCCACTTATTGTAGTATTGCAAAGTGCCAACACTACAATAAAACATGAAAACTGAGGTTTTAGTTTAGAAAAAACAACTCACAGCCAGCAGTGAACTGACCATGCAAAAGCCTGGACGGGTTGTGGCTAATGAGGCATGGTTTGTGATGTCATCACCTGACACCACTACTCCTTTCTGAGCATGCTCATGGCCCCTATGTACACTGTTATCTGATGTTTGGCTGCTGGGGCAATCCTGGGGTGACTTGACTCGCGTGCTGACAGAGAGGGCTCTGCGTGCCTGCTGTGGCACATGTGCCATAGGTTCACCACCACTGCCTCAGGCTATGTAATACATACATACATAAATAAATGTCTGGATTTCCACAACAACATGTTTACCATATGGAACAATTGTGGCTGCATGGTGACTAAAATATGATACATCACCATATAGTAACAATATCGCAACGGAATGGCCAATCTCTGACCAGAGTATATTTCTATGTAAAACAGTTAATAAAATTTAATGGAAAAAAGTTCATTGTGCATGACCAAAACTCTGTTAATAGACTGGGCAACAGATGGATACTAATCGCAGGCATGTGAACTCTGTTGATTAGAGGAGAGGTTCTTCTCCATACTTAAACAATATATTGTCTGTAATCTATGAGTTTTAATAATGGGTGACTTGGTGGTAGACTTTTTGCATATACAACTGGAATTGGCTAATATGGAACTGCCCACATGGTATATACTTAGCTTTAAAGTATCAGTAATCCTTAAAGAGAAAGTACTACATGGCATAGCTTGTCTACTGGCAAGAGGAAGGGACATAAGGGAGAAATACAGGCAAGTAGAATCAAGAATATGCAGTTCCCCTTAATTATTTTCATTGCAAATAATTATTTCATAGAATTCAGGCATTATAGAACTTAGCTGTCAGTTAACATCAATAATTGTGACATTAGTAAGGGAGGTATGCTTGCATGATGCATTATCTGTAGAACACCTGTAAGATTGTTACACCAAAATAATATTGTACAGTGTGGAATGGATGTCTACTTCAATAATATTTGCTTGCTTTTGAATATAGTATTTTTTTATAAAAGTAAAGTTGAATAAGACAGAGTCTAAAATATGCAATGGAAAAAAATCAACAGAGTGCCAGTTTTAAATTGTCTAATACTCTGGAGAACAGGAAGCTACATGGGATGGATGGGACTTTCATTTGCATGTGAAGTTAATTTATTCTCAAGGAGTCTTTTAACAGTAGCTACTTTGTGGCACTTGATGAACATACATCTTTTTCTTACACATCTGCTAGAATTTGTATTTTACTTACAGGAAACTGTATATTTCAAAATAAAACAAATGACAGAACACCAGAACATATGAATTGCTTTGCTGCTTGAATCTAAAGAAATTTAGTAAAACCTAAGCTTATAAGAGAATGTAACATAGCTATATTAGGGTATTAATATTTTATATACATAAATTATTCTAAGATAATTTATGTTGAGTTTCCCTTATAGGAAGAATAGAAATAGTATTTTTGATTTTCTTTTAAATGAAATGTTTCTTTTAGTTTCCTTAATGAAAGGAAAATATACAATTGTTTCTTAATAACTTTGCATATACTTCTTTTGTTTGAATTTTCAATGTTCTTCTTCGTACTATTTAGTTTCTAGGAAACCTTTAATGAACATCAGCTGTTCTACATTATGTCTTCCATGTTGTTCATCTTAGCCAAAATAAAGGGACAGATAAAATGCAAATCTCATGTCATACACATTGGACATCACTAGCATCCCTGACTCAAGTGCTGGGTTTTTGTTTTGCTTTTTGTTTGGGAAAGTGCACACTGAGTAAAGCCCATGGGGACTTTATGCTCCAAATCTGTTTAACCAGTGGTCTGATAGTAAATATAAGGAAAAAAATTAAGTGATATATGCATGCATCCATCCGATATTACAGTTATGCATGTGCTTTACCAGTTGGCCTCTGAATTTGAAGATCAGGGTCAAAGCATTAGATGATCCAGTTCTTATTTAAAAGATAGACATTGATAACAACAACAGGATATTAGAGTTGGTATGGTGTGAGAATGTGTAGTATTACAATCAGGAATTTTGTTCTGTATTCTTTTCTGTTTTCTCTAGCCTTGTCTTGGATTTAAATAGATACTGAAAGTAAAATGTTTTGGGGACGTGTATGTGATAAATCTGTAGAAAATGGCAGGGTTCTTTCCATAGGAAGAGCACAAGCTGTGCTTTCAGGCATTTCTCAGAATAAAAGTCTCTTATGAATAAGGCCCTCAATGGTTCACAGTTAACAGACTCTTTGGGTTTCCCAAGATGAAAATGCCATCAGGGATTGCAGTATTATGCAGGCACATGAGATCAGCCTGCTCAGTGCTGTGGGTGTCAGTGCTCTGCATGTAGTAATGTTTGTTCTTCTTTCTGCCAGCTGCGGAGAATTCAAGGCCAACTTTAAGATACAATGAATTTTAAGACTGCAGGGGGTTTGTTCTGTTTTGTGATACAGTTTTCTGGTAAACGGGCACACTGCTTCATTCCTATTCCACTGGCAGTTAAGGACTAAAATAGAGCAGTTTGTATTAACACAGAGTTCTGTGCTTGGGTTTGGCCACACTCATGCACAGTACTTATTGTAAACTAGATTAATTAAGATTTTGTTTGTGGCACAGGCACCACGCCAGTTACTGTACACTATGTAACAAATACAGAAATGCACAAAAGGATTTCCTCTTTCTAGTCCACCTGCCACAAAATACCACTTTTCAAATCTTTTATGATGATACAGTAAGAAATTATTAAGAAATAATGCCTGCATAGATTTGTGCTTGTAGACCTTTTTTGGGCTAACAATAGAATAGCAAACTTCTAATTTCTTTTCAAAGTTTTGACTTTGCTGGAAGGAGCTGAGCCAATAAAAGCAGAAAGCAGTGTTGTGTGACAACTGGAGTCTAGTTCTAGGAAGAGAGGCGATAAAGCTTAAAATTCAGTTTGTTAATTCCTCTTTTTGGCTCACTATTAGCAACTTTTCCAGTACTCCACTTCTCTATTTGACTATGTAAAACTGGATGTTGTCAGACTTCTCAGATCAATGTGATTTCCCTCACATACTTGTTTCTAGGTCTCAGCCTCCCTCATATTACGATTTTTAAAAAAGCCTGAGGTTTTCTTTAGAGTGATGGCTTGCCAACATCCTCTTCCTGCTGGGTTGGGTTTGATGTCTAATAAGTTTATTTGCCAAGAAACTTCCAGGGTACAAAGTATAAGAGCCTTTTTTGTTCGTTTTTCAGCTCTGTTCCTTAATGTTGCTTGGGTTGAGCAGTGAGTGTGTATGGTTAATGTGTGTTTTTACTTCCTGGGGAAGTATCTCCATTTGGATACTTAGGAGCAAACCAGATATAGTAGCATGATCATCCACATATCCACCCCTTTCAAACATAAAGCAGTGTAGGAGGGTGTTTTGTTTTAATAGTAAAATGAATGCCTTGGTGCTGGTGTGCCTCTGATAGGCATGGCGTGGTTAAATTTTAATTGCTCATGGTGCCCTGCAGTGACACTGCATCACTGTGGGACAGGGGTCCTCAGACGTTTTAAACGGGGCCAGTCCACTGTCCCTCAGACTGTTGGGGGCCCGGACTATAGTTTGAAAAAATATGAATGAATTCCTATGAACACTGCACATTAAAAATTAATTAACATTAAAATTAATTTAAATTTTAATTAAAATGTAAAAAAAATAAAAATGTTTGCTCCACTTTCTCAGACTGTAGCAGAAGCCTAAGATGAGGTGGGGAAGAACATGTGCATATTCAAGGGACATAGCTACAACACAACCAAGGCACTAAATATAGTATTTTGCATAATGCAGCTGATGACTGCAACTGGCATTTACAAAGAGTGAAGCAAAAATACTAAGGATAAATACTGCTAATGCCACTCTTAATATTTGAAGCAAGTCAACCCAGAACAATTCCCACAATACACAATGGCTGTATTTGGATGCAGAGCTAATGACTACCACATTTTAAGTGCAAACTTGCCAAAACTGGTACTGTCCAGATGAGTTGGACTACAACTTCCATTGACCATGCTGGTTGGGCATCATGGAAATTATAGTTCTTGCCACCGCCCTGCTTCTGAGGGAGCGGGAACAGGAGGCTGGAGAGGTGAGCGCAGGGTGGCTCTGAGGTAAGGGCTTCTTTCCGAGGTGAGGGGAGGCGAGGGATGGGGCCACGGCTGGCCGAGCAGGGCGCCTCCTGCCTCTCCCTGCCGTGGGGGGAAGCATGGCAGCTGCTCGACGACGACGGCTTGCCCATAGAAGGCTGTGGCTCCCACAGCTCCACTGTGGCCTTCTATGGGCAAACTGCTGCCTATGCCAAGTGGCTGCCCCAGGTTTGGCCCACAGCCTGGAGACATGGCTCACATACTTAAAAATGGATTTAAAAAGTTATATTTTTCTTACCTTAAGTCCTTTTTTAGTATCTTCATCTGTCTGTCTCTCTTCCTCCTCTCTTATGTTTCTCATTCTGTATTTCCACTCCGTATATGCATGCAATGGGCGGCGGGGGGGGGGGGTCGGCACACAGGCAGTTGAGCTATTACAATTTGGCCCATGCGCCGGCGCTCTGCTCAGTTTCAAGGAACTTCTGCGCTGGCTCAGAGCTTTTGGACTTGCTCGGAGATCGTTCTCTCCAAGCAAGTGCAAAAGCTCTGAGGCAGGCCAGATAAATGAGCATGGTGGGCCATATCCAGCCTGTGGGCCATAGTATGAGGACCCATTCTGTGGGACATTGTGAAGAACTATAGAGCTAAGTACTTAGAGATCATGAAAAACAAGTCTGGAGAATATATGGTAGGCCTTTTGAGCTTATTTTAAAACCAGTAGCATTTTGCTGTAATGCTAATCTAATAATTCAAAATCCGTTTTGCAGAGCAGCTGGTTTTCAGATGTTTCCCAGTTTGTGCATGCTATTCTTTTCAATAGTTGCTACCTGTGAATTTCATTTCTTTTCTGTAGGTGAGTTTTTAAAGTTATCAAGGTAATTTTGAATTGTGATTTTCTCTTAAAGGTTGTATTAAGTTACTCCAGATATTTTATAATCCTCGTTTCATGAATAAGTTCCTTTAAAAATAACTAGTTCCTTGTACTTTTTAAATATCTAGTCATTTGTTATTAGAAATAAGATACCCACCCGAGTCTAAATTAATTTGGCTAATTTTATATATACTGTATAGTCTATTTAAATGTTAATTTTGTCTGGATCTATCTATAGGCTTGCTAAAGATAAGATATACACAATAGGCATTAAATATATCTTATCTACTAATCAGTTACCTGTCAAGAGCTGAAGATGAAATTTAGTACAGTTTATTCTCATCAACCTACATTGTCAGCTTACCATTTCCTTTTCCTTTGAGTAAGTAATACCATAGTTTTGGTTGTTGCCTTTCTGGTCTACAAACCACGTTCTTGTGTTTTTGTTTTGTGATACCCTTTTTAATGATGTTTTGCGTAAACGCTTGAAAAGAGTTAACACCAATCAACTTTGATATATTGTGTTTTTTCCTTCGGAATGGAGTCTTTGTGGTTCTTAGTCTGAGGGAGAAGATTGTCCTCGGTCATGCGGTGTCATAAAGTGCTAAATTTCCTCTCCCTGCCTTCACCATTTTACTGAGATTGCCAAAATCCCTGCACGTATCTTAATTGTTTTCTGAAAAGAACAGTGTTGTGTCCTATGGTATTTTTCAAAAATGAAGGAGGCTTTCATGTTACTGAAAGGTGGAATAATCTGTTTCAAATGTGTAAACACAGTGGTTGGCTCTATGCCAGAACTTCACACTCGAGGAATTTTCCTTTCAGGGTGGACACTTGCTTTTTCTGGCATTCCATGAAAGGTTCCAAACACCGTGGGCATTAAAGACTCTCCCGTTGACTTTACAGCAGGAGTCTTCTGTCATAGCATGCTTCATAGTTGAGGGGCATCTTGTACTTTTTTTCTTCGATGGTTGTGGGAAAGCTGGGGGTGGGTCCATGCAATCAGTACAGGCTGTACTGGAGAAAAATTTTAAGCTGAATCATTAGTTCGTTGGGTTTTTTTGGAAAATATTATTTTGGCAGACACTGGCACAGTATCTCCTACTTATGCACATTCATTCCATTTGCACACAACCAGAAAATAATCAGCTGAGCCAGGATAAAATCAACAAACATATTTGCATGATGAGTTTTAAGCCCTAGGGTTCTTTTGCCCATGTTTGACTGTTCTCAAAGATGATCATCAGTAGGGAGAAATTAATGAATACTTTTAGTATATTGTAGGTGTTTCAGTGGTTGCTAAGGTTAATTATGGCTTGTTTAGTGGTGCTCTGCATACATGACTCAAGACACTCCTAAGCAAAAGTTAATTACCAAATAACTGTCTTGGGGTGTTTAACTATGGTATGTTGCAGTATAACATAAAGGTTCAGCTTAGGAAAACAACCTATTTCTGAAAATTGTATGCAAAATTTTAAGCTGCTTTTTAAATATTTGCCTTACTGACTTCCTTAGAGACTGAATCAACTAGGCCCGTAACTGAAAACATCAGTGTTCCCAATTTAGGTTCATATTTGACTGTCTCTGTATCTGCAGCTACTGTTGCTATGACACTTAATAAAGCACAACAAAAGGTCACAAGAAATTATCTACCTCCACAAGCAAATGTGAATATGGCAAGGCTGTTGTGGTCTGAGCGCTGTGGTGGGACTGCTAATGATGGACTAAACTCTAGGAACACAGGAAGCTGCTCTACACTGAGGCAGGCTGTTGGCCATTTAGCCAGCACTATTGACACTGACATACAGTGACCCTGCATGGTTTCAGGCAAGATTCTTTCTTAGTTCTACCTCAGGATACCAGGGATTAGACCTGGGACCTTCTGCATACAAAGTATGTGCTTTACCTCTGAATTACAGCTCTTCCCTTCATCATGTTGAGTACACAGGGCTTAGCTAGACCTAGTGTGGAAATAAGGAGCAGCGCTAGATCAACACTATGAAGACAATTCACTTCCATCCCATTACGTAGTCCAGATTGGTAGAGTATGTAGCTGAAGTTGAGCTGATCAGCATACTCAATGCAATAAGCAATAATTGTCATTTGTCTGTGGTCAATTAGCTATTCATTGAGAGGCTCCAAAAACCTACTCAGCTGATTGGCACTGATTGAAAGCTTACAGCTCTAGAGGCAATAATTATATGGTTTAATTTTAAGGAAGAAAACTGCACCTGCTTTTTTCTTGTATAAATGAACAGCAGTCGTTTACTTTCATGGAAGAAGGTTAAAAGGCTGTAGTTCATGATGCTATTGAGACAAACTACCCCCCCCCCCCCCCGCTGCCACTGCTGCCTGAAGAGAGAGTTAGAGATTGGAGCAGGTTTTTCTCCCAGCTGACATGTGGTCCATTGGCTTCTTTAGTTGAAAATGGATGTAGCATGCTATGCTGACAAGTGATTCCTTCATTTTTAATATTTAGGGATAACTTTAAAAATAATGTTTCAGGACCAGAGTAATACTAATAGAGGAGGTTAAAATACTGTGCACTTCAGTTGTGTTTTCTTTTGTGAAAGAGTATCTACACATGTACATATGCATGACAAAAATTTTCAAAAATGTGAAGAAAATTGAACAAGTCAAATTATAATTTATTACATTTATAAACTGCCCCATAGTCCACAGGGCTCTCTAGATGGTTTACAATTATTTATCAAAATATTACATCATCCATTTTTGGAAAGGATGGAATTCATAATGCTGTACTAAATATTTCCAAGAGATGATTCAAATATGACAAAGTAGGGAACAAAGAAGTGCCTAATTTTACTTTGTAACATCTAAACTGGTTCTTAAACTCCATTCCCAAATTACCCTTTATCATTTCAGATTAACTAGAAAAGTAACCATATGTATACTGTTGTATTTCCCTTTTGAATGTATATTGTGATATAGCCTAGAACTTTTTACGTAAGCTGAATTTTACCATGTCTTCTAGAGTACTTAAATAAAAAGCTATGCACCATGTAAGTCTGTTCAATAGAGATTTTACTGTGGGAGATGATGGGAAAGAACATTTTAGCAAATACGAAAATCATAAGACTCTGGCATCAGTGTTTGTGCTGGCCTCTCTCATTTTAACATAGCACCATTGGTAACTGCTTGAGTCTACTTTGCCCTGCAGGATATTGATCATACTTCTATTACATAAAATAATAACATGTAAGGAAGGTTTTCAGGTTTATTTCCTAGAAAATCCTTCTCTGGCACAGAGCTTGCAATCCACGAGAAAGTGAGAAAGTACACCAGAAGGAATAGGCTTCACTCCACAAAAACTAATAACTTTTATAACTAATAACTAATAACTTTTAATAATAAGTGCCAAAAGGACCTTTATTGTTTCTTGCTGCAACAGGTTAATACAAAGACTTACTTAGAATTTGTAATTTTAAGCATGTAAATTGATACATATAAGAAATTTATGGGAGAAAAGAAAAACCAATCTGCCAAACAATGATTGCTGACCCATTCTTCAATTTAATTGGGAAGAAATAAAAGCTTTTGGTGGGTGGTAGAGGTTCGCTTTCTTGTCGACTTCTTCTTTCCTCCCTCCTGCCTCTTCCTTCTTTTGGTTCACTTTCCTATTGTGCCAATTAGTGGAAAAAATAAACATAAAATAAAATCCAACATCATTTAAAAAAAGATACAGCTGGTTGAACTTTATAGAGAACTACTTCTTTGCCAATCTGATTTGAATAAGACAGTTGCAGAAAATAATATTGATGTTTTGAAACAGCACTGCATTTGATCTTTCATAACAGACCT